ACCAAGTTACTCACCAGTATAGTCACCACTGTTCAGTCACCATCAGCCCACCTTCGCGGTCCTCGTGCACAAGCCTCGTTTTGGTAAGTCGGCAATAATCTACTAGGATGTCGACATAAATAAGTCGTAAGTGGCAAGTCGTAAGTGGCAAGTCGATGTCACACCCGAGCATTAACACGATAAAAAGCCGAGTTACCCACTTACGAGATAATTATCTCGGCAAAATTATCTCGGCAAATGTGATAATATGTCGACATAATTTAAAAGTTATGTCGACATCTTCTCAGATTATGTCGACATATTCTCAGATTATGTCGACATCTTTCAATAATTATGTCGACATACGTAACTCGTAAGTCGCAAGTGGATGGCAGAAATATGCCACCATAGAAACTGAAACAAAACGATGTGTGCTTCAATATCCACACAATGTTGACGAGTGGTATTATAAACCAATACTTTCACGCGCTCCACACTAAACATATGCTTACCAATTTTCACCTAAAGGTATGTCTGTACCTTCCTGTATGTAAATTCATTTTTCACTCAATTGGCTACATGGCATGTTCCAATTCTACACACTCGAGACGTTAAATTTGAGTGAAGGGCATCGACAGCCATCTTTTGTACATCAAAATGTATCCATCAATCCCAATTGCTTCCGGCTTCCAGATCGTCCATATTGTGTCGAGTTGTGATGCACGTATTCAGGGTAGTGAGAAATGAATTTTTAGACATATAAGTATAAGTATTTACTCCAACCTACATGTTTTACTCCCACAATCGTTGCCGGCAGATTTGGGCCACAAATCCCGTGTTTAAAAACCGCAGTAGAAAGTTGACCATAGCCAGGCGACCTAGCCTGCGATTATGGTCATTTCGTTCTAAACATAGTAGGAAATTTCATAAACAGTAAGTGTTTACGTCTGACGTTTCAATGACTAGAACGATACGTACGGAGGGCTTTGACCATTTATATCAACAACATAGATGCAACAATGCATGAAACTCATGTGTGAGAAAACATCTACGTCGCGATACCCTTCCTAGATATTCTACATGTACAGAAAGAGAACTGACCTGTAAAGGTATTGGTCTATAGAAAAAGACCCATATAGCCAAAGCGTATTGTAAATTCAGAACATATAATATTAAGTTACCAATTAAAAGTGGTAGGTGGTCCAATATACCCCGTGAAAATAGATTATGTAATTTATGTTATTTAAGAGAAATTGGCGACGAATTTCATTATTTGTTTACATTTACACATTAACCAATTCTCAATAGTAGGCGAAAACGTATGTCCAGATATTATTATGAAAGACCAAACACATTTTGTATTCAATTATGTAACACAACATGAATTGACATCATTGGTTAAATTTATTGCCGATAGTAATGGCATAATCAATTCACAATACTAATGTCCATCCTGTTCCACCATGTATTATTGTCACCCATTTGTATATATATATGTATTCTCTACACTGTATTGTTTATGAGAATAAAACAATTGTCATTGCCATTGTCAAAGAACAGAAAGGGTCATTTACTGATAAGAACGCAATGAAAGATCAGGTCGTCAATCCATATATAACAGTAATATCCGAAACCATCCAGATGATACATGTATATCGCGGCCATGACACAGCAGTAACCATGAATCCCGTCAAGACGCTTCGCAATATATCTAATAACCTTGTACACCCTAAGGATAGAACACTTAAAGAAAGCCTAGTAGAATGCATGAGCAAAATCGGGCACACGAACTGTGACGCATTCTATATGTATATCGAAGAAACTGGAAGACAATTTGGGGGCCAAATCAGACAGAAAACCAACGAGGAAAAGAAATCCACCCGATCTAAAAGGAAGCAGTGGAAGTCTCTGCTCAATAAATCGTTAATCACAGACGATGCCCTTCAGCAAAATAATGTTAATGACTTGGATAATCCAAAAAAGCCGCATATAATAAAAGCCATTTGGGAGACGAGGGGCTAATAGCATCTCGCACATCTATGCCCGGGTAGGTATTACCCATTTGACAAATCGTAGCCGAATCAAACTGTCGGTTTGATCCGTCAGTTCGTACACATACGCTTATAGCGTATCCGAATCGATGTCAATTTGATATTGCCAACAATATTTTACACATTTGTGTTCATACTCTTTCTTCACTTGTCACTTGTCTGAGGAATGTGATAGAGCATTAAGACGTACTGGTTGTAACACATAGACTTTCTACATAGCGATTAGGGTCAGTTTTAGCAGACTGGTCATGCTTCGTCAGACATTACAACCTTAGTTCTTTTGAATTCCTTTTTATCAAGATTGGGGGCGGGGGGAGGGAAAAAAATAGGGGACACCCGGGTTCGAACCAGGGACCTCTCGATCTGCAGTCGAATGCTCTACCACTGAGCTATATCCCCGCATACGTTTTAACTTAAAACAGTCCACGGGAAACCCAGCAATATATCCCTAAAGGTATGTAATCCAGCACATCTGTTGATCAAGCTCCAGTACGGTTGGTTTTATTAATATAACACGTGGCCTTATCATGTACCCCTTCTCAGCTGGATTACACTATAGACAATCTAAGGAAACAAGTGTCTGTACAGTACTTAAAATTTCCCCAGTTCTATTTACGGTACATGTGTTAGCTCACACGATATACTCTTAAATTATTTTTTGTGTTTGCTAAAACGATGATGAAGATGAATATACAATCAGAAAAGGAACAAAATGTTATTCGCTGTATTTTGGTTAATTTTCATTACTTTTTGTTGTACGCAGTCTTCATGTCTTGTCTGTATCAAAGAGATATTTCTTAGATAGTGATATGATATTTATAGTAACTGTTACTTGTAAAGTATACCTTTCTTAAAATATGGTAATATTTTACATCTTGGTACACAGTATAAAGAAAGTAACGCATCGTGACGCAGTAGTAACATGGTTACAAGGCGGCTATGCTATTACCTGAGAAATTAATGACTTAACAGTGAACAGGGTTATTTCCTTGGTAGAGCATTTGATCACAGAATTTGTTACAGCCAAATTTTGACCTAAATTGAGGTATTCAGAGTAATTTTACTTTTACACATTTTAGGGGTTTATATCAATTTTGGGTACAAATCCCACATCCAATGTATCGTATATATCATAATTATCAGGGAGTGGGGGGAAGGGGCATTTTTACCGAAAAATTATCTTCACCTCCACTTACTCAGAACACCTCAATTTATGTCCAAATTTGGCTGTAACAAATTATCAGGTCCCCGGGCATTTGCTTGCAGTTAGACAGCTAGGGCATATTAACAAGCCAATTTAAAACGTATCGCGAAACTCAGTAAAGATATAGACTTTAAATTCTGCTTCAGTTCGTCTTTTTCTTTTGTTATTTTGTATTTTTTAGATTGTAATGTATTTAGAAATGATATATCATGTGTAGCTTGCGAAATTTCATATACATCAGGTAAATATTTTATAACGGAAGGGAAGTAACTCTTCCTTCCTCGGGTTGCATAACAGGAAGGCATATTGAGAAATATTTGGGTAAACAAACAATTAAGGGATATAGCTCAGTGGAAGATCATTTGATTGCAGTTCAGTAGATGCCTGGTCAGAACCTTGGTATAACTTTTATCGTTATACATGTGTTTCATTATAAATGTACAGTGATGGTTGACAAACATCTTTAACAAGAAATCCCGTTTATAAGTAAAACTTTCAAATTAAATTTCCTTTGTTTATTAGGATATTGTTACAATTGCTTACTATTTCTCAATGCCGATCGTTTGAATATAAATAAATATGTTTTATGTTTTAATGGAACTTCCAATAGCAAGCCATTAGAAAAATAACAAAATGTTTGTTTTCGTGTTCATTTTATTTTTCATTATACATCCATACATTAAATTATTCACTCTTATCCAATCTCATACATATAAGACATTTAAACAAATGATTCTATATAATTTGTATTAATTTTACATGTAAGATACAGAAAACTTTTACTGTGATGCGATTTTATTTTAATCTTATAACAAACTAAGATACATCAATAAATCCCAAAATAATCCCCTCGCTTTATGGCGCGTAAAACGTTGCAATATTCAATAATTTTATATCTAGTTTCTAAATGTTATATTTGAATTCAACAAATGTTAATATATTTGCATTATTTTATATATGTATTTGTAATTAACTCGCCATGCTTCGTTTTGCGATAGACATAATATTGTCTTCATTTCTGTCCCGGTTTTAGAGAAAGATCTACTATAGAACTGGGTGTAAATTCTGAATAAAATCATTTTTAAAACAGATTTATTCTGAAAACATACTTAAATATGCAACATTTATTCTAAATGTCTTTTCTTTATTCGGCTATACGCCCAACATTAATTTGTCAATACACATTTTCAAAGTATTTACTGCATGGTGATCGGGTCGATTTTTTGGGGAAGCGCGTCGTTTGCTGCGGTACACATAAAACATAATTACTCGCTAGTCTCAACAATGTATTCCTTACGTTACTGCAATACGTTTTAATCATTTAATTAATTTATAATAAAACCGGAAAGAAATATTTGACAAATGCATTTTATTTTTATTTTTTTAGAGTGAGGTATAGAGGACTGTAATAGTCCTGAACCAGAAATAAACTGAACTTATAATTTACTAAGTTGCCTATGGACATGTTTAGATGGCACTCTGTGGATTGCCAGAATGCTCACAGGTTATATTGTATATCGAGAGGCCTTAATTGTTAGTCACGAGGAATAAAATACATAAAGACATCACTTTTAAAATGTTGACAGTTATGAAATGAAATTAAACCCGTTTCAATAATTTCATATGAAACAAAAATACATGAAGATCAAACAAATATTAATTCGTCAAAGGTGTAAAAAAAAAAAAAATGTTTTCGTGTATGCATAATGTAGCTATACCCGGAACTTTAAACTGGGCTACTTTTGCAAAGCGAGGCACCGGTGTATCGATCGGGTTACCTCCCCTAACATACTTTCACTTTGGCTACAGTACACACTGGTCACTTCGACAACACGCATGTGCTAGGAACAGTCAGTAAGTAGAAAAGAAACATTCGCCTTTGTTACAAGTTCAGCAATTATCACTTTATATGATAATGTTTTGATTACCATAGCTTGTTAATTAGTAAGTGTAATTTTAGATGATATAAGTAAATCTGATGAAACTCGGTCACAATAGGTAGGCCTACTCCAAGGCCCAGACCCCAGATTATACAGATACAATATACATTTAACTGTGTTAGAACAACTATTGACTGTATTTGTCAGTTAATGAACAAAAATGAATTAAAAACTGAAAATATTATGAAGTAATAAAGCAACAGTGAAATACACGTAAAATCGAAAAAGATTAACTGGCCATGAGTCATACAGGCCTAGCATACAAACCACCATACAATATTCCTAGTATTAGTTTTTCTCCAACACCGACACAAAGATTTGATACTTTGACAGGTTGATGACAGGAATCAGTAGACATCTGTCTGGTTGTGGTTAGGGAATCATTTCACTTATATGATTTGTATTCTTTGTATCCTTTGCCTGACATGATTCATCAACCAATGTGAAGGTATATAGTGTGTAAGAATTAGATAATGGTATAACTGGGGAAACAAAATTGGATTTCATGATTAACAACCTATTGCAAAATTTTGAGTTTTAATATGCTTTACCAGAAACTTGTATATAATCCTATTCCCTGACTATACAATATAATTTGAGGTTGACTTCTTATTTGTTTCCATGATTATAGATAAAACAATCACTTTTTCCAGGAAGAATCACACTGCTCGACAGTCCACATGGCAGAATTTCTTGGTGCAGCCTTTATACCCTATTATGGGCACCTTATTGAAATTTTGGAGACCAATCCGGAAATGAAAAAGAGTGCAAAAGGTATAATGCCTGATGTTGATGACTGTGAATTTAAATATCAATAATAGTTTATGAGGATAGGTAATGTGAATGATTTGTATAATTACATATACATTTTACATTTACAGCATCTATAAAATAGAATTTGTGTGATGTGTCAATGCATTTAATTTTTGCTTTAGGGCTTTTATATATGAAAAAAATAAGAAGGACATACATTATTCTACATACTGTATCATGTTTTTCTTTATTTAATGTTTTTTTTCTAAATTCTCAGGAATTTTCCAGCAGATGGCATGGGGTGCAGGAGGTACAGCAATGGGTGGAGTCTTATTGGGACCTGCTGGGGCACTTGTGGGGGGACTGGCTGGGTAGTAATAGGACTGCTGGGGGACTTATGGGGGGACTGGCTGGGTAGTAATAGGACTGCTGGGGCCCTTGTGGGGGGACTGGCTGGGTAGTAATAGGACTGCTGGGGGACTTGTGGGGGGACTGGCTGGGAAGAAATAGGAGTGCTGGGGCACTTGTGGGGAGACTGGCTGGGAAGTAATGGGACTGCTGGGGCACTTGTGGGGAGACTGGCTGGGAAGGAATAGGACTGCTGGGGCCCTTATGGGGGGACTGGCTGGGAAGTAATAGGACCGCTGGGGCACTTGTGGGGGGACTGGCGGGTAAGTAATAGGACTGCTGGGGCACTTGTGGGGGGACTGGCTCGCAAGTGATAGGACTGCTGGTACACTTGTAGGGGTGACTGGCTTTTAAGTAAAAATACTGTTGGGGCACCTGTGGGGGGACTGGCTTGTAAGTAAAAGGACTGTAGGGCGCAGTATATAGAATGACTGGTAAGTAATGTTCGGGTTTTGGTGAGGGTAGAGGAACTAGTGATAAAAAGTTATGAATTTCTTTTTTAAACATTTACCCTCTTTGAAGGTCAAACTGTGAAGTTGGGAACAGCTTTAATGAACAGGTGAAAGATACAGGCTACTTAGGGCTCTTGTTCTAAGAGTTTTAAAGTTCATTCTCACTCACTGCATTTTTTAACCTTGATCTTTTGTTACTATTTCAGGTTCACTGATTGGCTACATGAAGTCGGATAATTACCAAGCTCTGATTGTGGTGATGAAAAACCTTAGTGACAGTGAAAAAAAGAGAATAGTGCAAAAAGTACAAGAACTAGTGGGAAGTGTTGGTGTTGAGGAACTTGTTCGCTTTGTGGGATCACAGGTCCAGAGAGACGCTTTGTTACAACTCCTCCGTGGAGCTCTTAATGACATAAAGGGTGGTTAACTCTGAAAGACTGTTCTAATAATAAGTAATCAGGGTGCCTGATTGTTGATTATTTGAGCTTTTATATGTTATATATGGATAGAGTATGTAGATGAAATGCATATGTATGAAATTGGTTACAAATAAATGAGGTGTTCAGTTTGTGTAAGTGGATCATACATTTACCTTTCTCCAGAATTGTACATAAAATGTTATTGGAACAAACTGATAAAACTTGTTTACAATATGTGTGTACATAGAGGTTCCTCAACGAGTGGTGGTTGGTTATCATGTTGTTAATTTTCAAATTGTTTGGACTCGAAGTTTACCTAGTGTCTTTTACATTTATAAAATTAACTAATGATAGTTATATAATAATTCGAGGTTCTTATATACCGCTTTATCACAACCTAGTTCGTAGGTCGTCTCAAAGCGGTTCACAAATTATTATCAGTGGTTATAGGGCCTTTGCAACCAGCCAACTCCCTGGGGAGCATACAGCTGGAGCTGCTATTTCGGCGCTAACAATTCTAGCACTGCCCAACCACATACTTATTTACAGCTGAGTAGACTGGACCAAGCGAAGTAAAGTATCTTGCTCAAAGATACAACACAGGCCCGTGCTGTGAGTCGAACCCGCAACCCTTCGGTCACGAGCCCGGCGTCCTACCACTAGACTATCATGCCTCCTATATAAACATGATATTCAACCATCACCAGTTAGGGGACCTTTTTCTCCTACATAATTCAAATACAACATCTCGAAAACCATATGTCTCTCTTGGGAATACATTATTTCTGATTCTGATCAGGAAAACAATCACGAACTATGATGTCATTATGGAAGATGACCACGCAAAGCTCTGTTACTTGTTAATAAGAAGATTGACCAATGAAATAACGTACAGGGTGTAATCCACTAGTGGGTAACTAAACATGTGTACTATCAAATGAAATTAGTGGTTGTCGGAATGAGGAAACCCTTAATGATTGTGGGAGTGAGAAAACCTATAGTGGTTGTGGGAGTTAGGAAACCTACAGTGATTGTGGGAGTGAGGAAACCTACAGTGGATGTGGGAGTGAGGAAACCTACAGTGGTTGTGGGAGTGAGGAAATCTACAGTGGTTGTGGGAGTGAGGAAATCTACAGTGGTTGTGGGAGTGAGGAAACCTATAGTGGTTGTGGGAGTCGGGAAACCTACAGTGGTTGTGGGATGAGGAAACCTACAGTGGTTGTGGGAGTGAGGAAACCTATAGTGGTTGTGGGAGAAATTATGTATCGCTACTATAAATCTGAAAGTAGTGTTCAGGCTGTTAACTCATTCACCCCTAAATACACTTTTGAACTCTACCAATTCAAAGGTTGGAATAGTCCATTGTGAAATTTCAGGGGCGAATGAGTTATTATTAAAGAGCAAGCATGTGTTGCTTCAATGTCAGAATCTGCGATTAGATGATTTGTATTTAAGAAGTTATAATGTGTTAAAGTAAGGTATATTATCTTATATTGTTTTTTTTTTTTAAATAATTGTGCCCATCAGTATTTTGTTTGTTTGTGTTTTACATCCTATAACAAGCTATGGTCATTTAAGGAATAGCCAGGTTTTGGTGGTGGAGGAAAGCCGGATTTCCCGTAGAAAATCCACTCACCTATGGCCAGTACCAGCGACAGCCCCATGTAGGCCTCGAACTGACGACCCAGTGGTGGAGGGCTAGTGGTAGCAGAATATAAGATACCTTAACCACTTGGCCAATGCGCCCCCCTCAATAGGATTAGAATATATAAGTGTTAAAATTTGATTATTTTATCAGCACTAAAAAATCAAGAAATAGTTAGACAGGTTCTGAAGTGAAATATTTTGCAGAATGTAGAGAATTCATTTCGTCCAAATTCTCTGGAACATATCAGAGAGCTGATATTATATATAAATATAACAATCGACACCAAATCAAGATATGGGACATGAAAAATAATTATTGAATGTTTCACTTCAAAAGCGATTTTAAACAAAACTGGTGCCAAGTAAATCCAAACTGGACTGGGTACCATTAGATTTTTGTTTTGATTTATTTTAAATACTCGCTGTACTGCCTTTTTGGGTTGAACATGTAAAAGATTTAATCTGTTAAGGTATAAGTTTTGTTTCGTAGCATGTATGTTCATTGTTTTCATAAATGTTCCTGTATGTTGAACATATTTGTCATGTGGATGAGAAAAAGAAAATTGGTAAAATTGCATAATCAAGGATTGTTTTTGCAGTTATATGTTTGGAAAGAAAAGACAACATGTAAGAAATTGGGCTTATATGTAATATTGTGATGTTTGGAAGGGATGCTTATAATATTTGTGATGTTTGGAAGGGAGGGTTATAATATTTGTGATGTTTGGAAGGGAGGGTTATAATATTTGTGATGTTTGGAAGGGATGGTTATGCTATTTGTGATGTTTGGAAGGGATGGTTATAATATTAGTGATGTTTGGAAGGGAGGGTTATAATATTTGTGATGTTTGGAAGGGGTGGTTAAATTTGTGATGTTTGGAAGGGATGGTTATAATATTTGTGATGTTTGGAAGGGGTGGTTAAATTTGTGATGTTTGGAAGCGAGGGTTGAAATATTTATGATGTTTGGAAGGGATGGTTATAATATTTGTAATGTTTGAAAGGGATGGTTATAATATTTGTGATGTCTGGAAGGGAGGGTTATAATATTTGTAATGTTTTGAAGGGAGGGTTATAATATTTGTAATGTTTGAAAGGGATGGTTATAACATTTGTGATGTCTGGAAGGGAGGGTTATAATATGTTGATGTTTGGAAGTGATGGTTATAATATTTGTAATGTTTGGATGGGAGGGTTATAATATTTGTAATGTTTGAAAGGGATGGTTATAATATTTGTGATGTCTGGAAGGGATGGTTATAATATTTGTGATGTCTGGAAGGGAGGGTTATAATATTTGTGATGTTTGGAAGGGATGATTATAATAAATTCGATTTTGGTAAGGGATGCTTATAATATTGTGATGTTGAGAAGGGATGGTTATTATACAATGTAGTTGTGATATTTCGAAGGAATGGTTATAATATAATATTTAAGATGCTGGGAAGGGATGGTTATAATGTAATATTTGTGATGCTGGGAAGGGACAGTTATGATATAATATTTGTGATGCTGGGAAGGGATGGTTATGATATAATACTTTTAACTCCTATTAGATATAACTTGATTAGTAGATCAAATATTTATCTGTGCAAAAAACATATAGACATTGATTTTGTTTTTGTAATTTTGTAAGACTATTCCGACATACTAGTAAATTTATCTATGTATGATCTTTTTCACTTTGAACTTGTTGACTAATTTTATCATTCATTCATATCTTTATTCCTCCAAACATGAAGAGTTATATGAAATACATATTTTAAATAAACAATAGATAAAAGAAAAATTAAATATACTGTGACAAAATAAAGTATTAATGACTGCAAAAATAAGCTGATTGAAATATGCAAACTTATACATTTAACGATGGCATAGCCTTCAACCAGTATAATACAAAAAGGTTATTTACAGGAACTCATATATTATTGGAAGGTGGGGGCAGAAGCTTTCTCTGCAAAAATGCAACAGTCTCGTACAAAAGACCAGAAAAGATCGTCGTCTTCTCCAAAAATATCTCGACTAATTTTATCATTGAAAAAATATTGCATTTAAAACATGTTCCAGATCTAACCCAGGATCATCATATTTCCATATTTACGTTTGCTCTGCATCCTTCCATTGCAATGCATTGATGAGGCAAATGTTGTGACTATAACAACATTTGCTATTTTTAACATAGCATAATCAATCTCTGTTGTGACGTCATTAACTTCATTGTTGTCGACTCTTAATTTGCTGTTCAAAGAACTGTTCGAAATAACAAAATAATGCGTAACTACTCTATCAAAATGTAAATATAAATAATAAACGTTTTAGCAAATATTGTTATGGTCCTATAACACACATGTTTATTGCTGACAAACTTACACAAAGCCCTAGAATTTCAGGTATCACTCGATTGTTTGAAAGAAAATATTGTACCAAGCAGTATCTCATCGATAATTTACTAAACCTTATCTACTTGACACCAATGCGAGCGATTTGTCTGTTTGAACGGTTTTAACTCATGTAGAGGGTGAATAAGAAATGGTGGTTGCTTGCAAAATTCGTATACTGTCGAAATCAATATGGTACATGTATGTACTTTGTGACGGAGACCATAGTTTATGACGATGTTAAGAAATAATCAAAGATCACATCAAGGAATTCTGCTATTTGTGTCTGTGTTCAGAAATATATTGAGTTTACTAACAGACTTTGAAATAACTGTTAATTCTAGTCCCAATGTGTATGTATACATGTCTATATGAATACTCCTTTAAAACGACTCCTTCTCTGGATTATCAATGACTGGGTAAGCACACAGTGGTGGTGTGTATGGACATTTTAGTGCTGCCCAGTTTTAATTGTTATCTGGAGTAGGAGTGGTGATGGAGGACTACTTGGTGTTACAATTATTCAAATAATAATATTTAATATTTACTGTATTGAATGGAGGTTCCAGTTTTTGATATTAGGATATGTTGTAAAATTTATAAAATTTGATTATTTACAAATGCAGTATTCACACATGGCTTTCCATTTTTAAATATATTTTATATATACTGCTTACAATGTAAAGAAAAAAATAACAAAACAAAAACAACTGTATTTGTTTTATCTCAGTTTAATTTTGCTAAGTTCAGAGATAGATAGAGACTATTAAGTACTATTTAATGTTCCAAGCCAGTGCTAATATGCTAATGTCTAAATTATAATTATGTTATTGTTTGAAATGTATGTAACCCAAGGGAGGGGGCTTGTATAGGCATAGCCTGTTGCCCAATACCCATTGAATCATTTGATTTAATAAAATATTTTGAAATGAAAAACATCAAGGAATGAGCAGATATGACCAATATGTACATGTGATATCCGTGAAATAGAAAAAGAAACATCATATGCCTGTGAAGTTTGTATGTTTGCTACCATATCAACTAATTATCTGGTATAACATAACAAACTAATACCATAGACCAAATGAAATCTTCGATTGCTGAAGGGGATGATAAGCACGTACGTAAACAATGGACTCTGATGATCTGACAAGTCTCATCGGAATATCAGACATTGACGACATATAGAAGCAGTCCGTAGTTGGGAACCAGGTTCAACAGATCATCACCTACCCTACAGTTAGAACAGCACAACCAGACAAGGTGTCGTCACCGAAACGAGATATTAGTCCAAAGGATCAGACAGTATCCCACAGAAGGTTCCGCGAATAGACATATCTCCAAAGCATACATAGCAGTAACATACGCGAGTTCTGTAAAAAAATAAATGACAACATATACAGAAACGTGACCAAGAAAATGTAGAGATGGAGGGATGGAGCCTGGAACACTTCGGTATTCTCTGTGTGTTAAACACGACTATGAATTGTCAAAGTTATTAATCAAGATAAATCTTTACTCAAAATCAAAACTGCATAAAAAGAAATAGATAAAACAAAATAGAATTTGTTTTCAGTTTAATTGAAGAAAACAAAACTGGATTATTTGGAAATGTTTATTATATACCAAAACTATGATTACAGTATTTGATTACCGTGCAAAATATTTACGTTACCAAAGGCAATCCTAATTTCCAAAATTCGATTTTAAGTATTTGGAACATCTTAACTAGGCTAAGGAAGAACAAATTACAGTCGATAAGTAGAAAAAGATATATCCGCTCTTGTTCCGATTTGAGTTATTATATTGATTGTATGTGTTTTGGTTACATAAGCTTGTTACATGTAATCTGGAATTAAATTGAATCCGATGAAAATTTCAATGTTAACTATAGCAGTATAATTCCCCCCGCTAAACCTAGTTTACAGACAGAATCGCATGGCAATTAGTTGGGAGTTGACTAGATAAAAACTTAACGAGCATTATTATTTGGAATACTCATTTAATCCTCGAAGACATATACTTAAAATTTCACGGCTTTTAAATATGGTCATGTTTTTTCCTTCCTGTAAAATGAAACTTTACAGAAGTAAAGTTTTTAAGTTTTTAAAGTTTTAACTCCTTCTGTTCTGATCGACATCGACAGGGTGTTGTTTGGCCTATGTACTGGAACGCAAAATGAAACTAGCGATCTGAATGGCTCTTCTCATAAAAAAAAAAACCAGCCAATCAGATCGCTAGTTTCATTTTGGGTTCCAGTACATAGGCCAAACAACGCCCGTCGATTCCGATCAGAACAGAAGGAGTTAAATAATAATAAGGGGCAACACAATCAGTCGTTGACGTCAGTACCGTAACACTATATATTACATTAAGTACAACGGAATAATCTCTATTCACTAAATAACGAATTTCATAAAATAGAGAAACGATCGTGAAAAATGGGCCTTAGAATTCTTGCATGTCAGTATAAAGCATTTTGAAGGCATTCATACCTGACAAAAGAACATATGTCTATACATTAGTATAAGGCTCATGCCACTAAAAAGAAACACATAATGCCAATCCTATTAAAAACGAATCCTTTTCTCTGTTGATGTTTAAAATACCTCCATGATTTATGGCTGTCCTGGTAATATTAATTTGATTTTCCTTTTTAAGGATGTGAAGTTTTCGCCTCATTGAACCAAATTTGTCCTAGAATAAAACACGTCCGGAATGTTTAATTCTTCTATTTAAAACAAACAACTGCTTAAATTGTCTGTACAAATTACATTTTCCTTTATATATTCAACAATCATCAATAGAGGGTTATTTAAAACTTTAAAATTTGTGTTGTTTGTGATTTCATTGGATGGCTCATCAAGCGTAGTAATTGAGGTCAAGCTTAATATTTTGTTTTGTGGGCAACGAAATTGTACTTGATGACTAAATATGCTTTACAATAATATATCAAGGATATACTAAGTATATATATTCTGTCAAATTGCTAGACAGTCAACATGGCAGAAGGTGGCGGTGTAGATTATAAAATGTATTTTGGACAGCTCATTGAGATTTTGGAGACCAATCCAGAAATGAAAAGAAGTGCAAAAGGTATGTCTGATCTAAAATGTACATAGCATAAATTGGTATTTTCGCATTACAATATTCACATGCTTAGGAAGATAATCTAATATATCCTTACCTCTTAAAGTTGTATTATTATAGATATAGATATAATTACATACGCTATTCATAAAACATGATTTGTTCAACGTGCTGGCAACGAAAGTAACAGATACCATGAAGGAAATGTGTTATTCAACATACGCTTAGATAAGTTATATTGCTGCTCTTGATTTATTGTTAATTTTCTAACACTAAAGGTATTTCTAAGCAAGAAGCATATGGAGCAGGAGGTACGGCAATTGGCGGAGTGTTATTTAGGGCTGCTAGAGCGCTTGTTGGGGGAATAGCTGGTAAGTATTGTTGCTGAACACGCTAGAAAAGAATAATTCAGCAGTTTTTGTTAGAAATACTAGTAAATGATGTTAGGGCGATAGTTGGGGTAGTGGAACGCACGATAAGTTAACAGGCTGAAAGATTGCAGAACTTTTGCAGTGGTACTTTATGTTGTTGTTCATCAAGTCTTTTTATAGTCCTGCTTAAGACTTCATTGAGGGTGAATCAATTCGGTAGGAATCATTTAAATGTTTTGGCCATAGTGGCTGTGGCCAGAACTGTCACGATTGGGTTCTGATCAGTTTGAATTGGTACAACTATATGAGGCCTCCTGAACCTCCATAAAAACCTGTTTTGTAAGACAATAATTATTCATAGTTAATAAAACCTACTTTATTGTTAATTTCCTCCCACAAATATTAGCTTTTCCTTTAATACTTTTATTTCCTTTTCGGGAAATAGAAATGTACACTGCACTTGTCTCTGATCAGTTTACTGATTTTTGCTTTTTGCTTATATGATGCCACTACATGTATTAATACATATAAGTATATTTTTTATGAAGTTTTTTCAAACCGACTGTATATCTTCACTTCGCCCTTCTGTTATAATTTCAGGTTCACTGATTGGCTACATATCATCTGATGATTACCAAAGAATGATCCAAATAATGATTAACCTTAGCGACAGCAAGAAAAAGGAACTAGTTAATAAGGTACAGGAATTAGTGGGGAGTGTTCTTAAAGATGCTCTTGTTCAATTTGTGACGTCAGAGGAGAATCGAACAGCATTGATACAACTCATCCGAAGTCATTAGTGTTAAACTAATCTGTATGCCTTTAATGCATTGTGGTAATTTGAACTTTTACAACTTCTTCAGTTTATACTGCAGGTACATGTAAATCAGAGATGCCCGTGTGATATTTAATTGGAAGCGAGAATATAACCAGTGCAGAATATGCCGTTTTCCTTCATTCCCACTCGAAGTGTTGTGTCCTTTGTACGGATTTGATTGCATATGTTCTAAAAGTATCATTGAACATGTTTAACGGAACTGTACTACTTACCATAATAATTGTTTAAAAGGGGCGTTTCAATCCTCAAGAGAAAAACAAAAACAGAAGATACGTTTGCTACCATTACCTATTACAATAAATAGTCTCAATGTCGTTTGGAATTAGGGGTAATTTATTTCTTTTTAAGACATTACACCAGGGTAGCATATTATTTACATCGGCGCAAAGCACAGTTTGATATGCCGGTATACTAAACTGATTTTGCGATGCAAGTCAACCTCAACTGAATATTTATGAATTTAAATCTAAATTGATTCTATATTGTTCATGTATTTTGTTAATGAAAACTTTACTACTATTGTTTATTCAAGTATATATTCGCACAATTACAACCCTCACAAATATCATCTACTGCCTAATACAGCTGGTAAAATATGTGTATTGTATAACACGTACTCCTGGATAAAGAGATTGGAAGTCATAACATAGCACACACATTGACGTTCCTGTGTGTTTTTGCCCATGTAAAAGAAAGAAAAAAGGTTTTCAAGGTACATG